CAATAATTTACCTTATTTACATTGATATACTTAAGTTATACATTTGAGATATCTAATGTACTTTTGAATTAGGTTCTATTGACTTGTAAATATTTAAAAAGGATTCAAAATGTATTTTTTTTAAATATAAACATAAAATATTTAAAACTTTATCTTTCCTATTAATAAAATTTGATATTAATTTTTATTATTATGTAAATTGTATTACTTAAACGGTTTAGCTTAATTAAAACATGGAAAAATGTCAAAACTTTTTACAAAAGAAACATATATGTTATCAACATATTCCTTATTGAGAAATCTTGTTTAATATAAACAAATCAAAATGACTGTATCTACACATCTTTCACTAATAGTTATAGATTAGTTAAAAATACAAAATATTTAGGAAATTGCTGAAAAATTGGTATACTAAATACANTATTTTTGCTAATGATAAAATTTGATATTAATTTCTATAATAATGTAAATTGTATTACCCAAACAGATATGCTTAATTAAAACACAGAAAAATGTCAAAACTTTATACAAAAGACACATATGTGTTATCAACATAATCAATATTGAGAAATCTTGTTTAATACAAACAAATCAAAATGATTGTATCTATACATCTTTCACTAATAGTTATAGATTAGTTAAAAATACCAAATATTTAGGAAATTGCTGAAAAATTGGTATACTTAATACATATATACACATTACACAATATCAAGTTATGAAATTATAAAAATATCATTGACAACAAATAAAACAGATTGGACTATCAGTATAAGGTATATAAGGTGTATTATTCAATGTCTGTCTCCTAATATATAATATTTTCGTATNAAAATTGGTATACTAAATACATATATACACATTACACAATATGAAGTTATGAAATTATAAATATATCATTGACAACAAATAAAACAGAGTGGACTATCAGTATAAGGTATATAAGGTGTATTATTCAATGTCTGTCTCCTAATATATAATATTTTCGTATAAATCTAATATAAAAATACCAACTCATATACAAACCATCTAAAGAATATGAATACATTTTTATTATATTTAATAAATGATTGATTTGATTTAAGGACATTTTATTTATCATATTTACTATAATTCAACTAATTTAAATTGAAATAATTTGGGAATTTTAAGATTTTAAATTGACATTGTCTGTTATTGATTTTTAAATTTAAAAAAAACAACACATTGTACTGATTTCAATCAAAAAATTATTTTAGAATGAACAAAAAATAGCCATAAGTATATATTTCTTTATAATGAAGTATGGAATTTTTTTTTCTCAATAAATTTGTATTCTGAAAAGGGTTAGTTTAGTTGATTTATAAATATTGAAAAATGTCAGTACTTCTTACAAAGGAAGGAAATATTTTATCAGCATAATTCTAAATAGTATCCTTTCAATTTTAAATGAAGATCATAGATACAATCCTAAATGTACAGCTAAGAAAAGTATGGATAAATTAATTTATTTTATATATGAACTTACTTCGGCTTTTAAGTAATACAATTTTCATGACAAAAAAAGTAATATCAAATTTTATAATCGTCAATTAATTATGAAAATTCTAAAATTGTGCCTTTTTAAAATCAAATATATATTAGTTAAATTATTGTGAAAATGATTTGTATTAATGTCCTAAATTCGTGTAATCATATTTAAAGAATATTGTACTCATATTCTCAAATAAAATATAGATATCATATTTATATATATATATATATATATATTTGTTCATATAAATAAATATTATATATATTAGGAGAATAACACTGGTTAAATGTACCTTATATACAAAAAAATATTTATCTACACAGGTATATTGGTTTTCAATGATATTATTATACTTTCATAATTTCTTATTGTTTTTGATGTGTATATATTTATGTGTCATATCAATTTATCTGCAATTAACTATATAATTAATATCTACAAATATTGGTACACAGAACATGTTTATTATGATGTATTCAAACTAATTTTTTACAGGAAATTAAGACAATCACCATAAATTCATTGATTTAATACATGATTTCAATAAATACATATTTCTGGACTCTAAAATTATAGTTTAATACTAATAGGTAATTAAATATCACATAAACGTTATTATAATTGCAAAATTATTATAAATATCGAAAAACAATATTTACTAATCTATAAATCCCAATAAAAAAAATTGCTTTGAAAATCTCAAAATTACATCTTAATAATATCAATTTTAAACTTTTAGTATCTATAAAAAATAATTCCTGAAATATGTTTAAAAATATTCGTAAAATTATCAATGTATATATAATATTTATATAGGAAAATAATCTAAAAACACTAACTCAATTGGAGACCATTTGAGAAACATGAGTACAAACTTCTTAAAAATGGATTAATATGAATTAAGGACATTGTAATTAACCTTTTTCCATATACTTGGTATCTACAAATTGGTAACTGGAATACATCTCATTAAACTGGTACAACAGGTGATAATAACTACTTTTTTATAAAACAATTGTTATAAATCATGGTTTTTCTACCTTATAGAGTGTCCGTTATAAGAAGGTGGTTTTAATGTATATTATGGCAGCTCTTAAATGAATCATGGTTGAACTTTTATGAATGCACCCCCTAAGATAGTTCTAAATAAATATAATAAAATCCACTCCAATTTTGAAAGCTTTATCTCAATATTATGCCTCAAGTTACCTAAATTTTTTAAATTTGAATTAAAATGTAGTTTTTTTGACTTCATGAACTGGAAGCTAAGGTTGAATCCTGGCAAAATAGAATCTTCTATATTTTATCTAAATAATAAGCAAGCTAATGCCAAACTAAAAATTACTTTCAGTGGTCATAATATCGCACATAATCCATGTCCAAAATACCTAGGAATTACTCTTAATAGGTCCCTTACCTTTAAAAACCACATAACTTGTGTTATGGCTAAGATTTGCGCAAGAAATAATATAATCTAAAAACTAGCAGGCATAGATTAGGGTACTGATTCATTTACACTAAAAACATCTTCAATTGCATTAGTGTATTCAGTTGCGGAGTATTGCGCACCTGTATGGATCAACAGCAACCACACTAAAAAGATAGACTCTCAACTAAACAGTTATGTGAATCATAACAAGCATTATTATTTAAATAATGAATAATTTTCTACATGTGTGCTTTGTGTTGTTTGTAGAGTTTGTGGTATGTTAGTTCACCGGTATTTGGTTTGTGTTGACATACCAGTTTTATTTTTTGATTTATCATTATTTTTCAGTAAATACTGTAAAATTAGTAAATACTATAAATTATATAAACCATGTGTGTGGTTATCAGGTTACCATAGTACAAAAAATAATTGAAAATATTCTGCAGTAGATCAAATGGTGGTTACTGAAACAGTAGTATACTGGTATTTGAAAATATTTGAAAATACCAGTGATTCACCGGTATACTGAAAATACTGCCAGCTCTAGTTGGATGGTAACCAAATTATTAAATATTCTAATCTAACACGTACCGAAATAAAAATGTTTGTGTGACTTAACACTGCTAGGTCCTCAGTTTATGTTATGAGTAGGACAACATTTTGTACCGTATTTATGATATAAGTATAGAACTAAGTATCAAATATTTATAATACATAACACATGGTATTTGAATATCATATTTTATTTTTAAGCCAACATATTAAATACAATAATAAATAGGTGGTAAATGGAAAGGTACATAAAGTAATTTAATTTAAATATAATATATACGTGAAGAACACGTGGGGCGCGTTGAATTTTTCTTTTTTTCCCGTTGTTTTTGAACCTTAATCTCATCGGCGATCGGGGTCTCATCGTTATTAATATTGAGAATATTCTTCAATTTGTATTCATTTTCCCAATTTTTTTTATTTTTGAATCGATTATTTTGTATATTTTTACAAATTATAATTATATTGACGTTGTTATAAGTAGTAACGAGTAATTTGATTCTTGTTGATTCATTTCGATTTCAAATGTTTATAGTGGTTAACTACTATTAATAAATATGGCTATTTAATTATTGGTATTTTAGTAATTAATTTTATTCTGATTCGAGTAAAATGAATATATAAAATAATGGTGGACAAAATGTAAAGACTGCGGATAAATGGGGACAATTTATATGTGCTTGTACGNTTGTTGATTCATTTCGATTTCAAATGTTTATAGTGGTTAACTACTATTAATAAATATGGCTATTTAATTATTGGTATTTTAGTAATTCATTTTATTCTGATTCGAGTAAAATGAATATATAAAATAATGGTGGACAAAATGTAAAGACTGCAGATAAATGGGGACAGTTCATATGTGCTTGTACGTCGATACCAATTCTAAAATTGTGCCTTTTTAAAATCAAATATATATTAGTTAAATTATTGTGAAAATGATTTGTATTAATGTCCTAAATTTGTGTAATCATATTTAAAGNTTCAACTAATTTAAATTGAAATAATTTGGGAATTTTAAGATTTTAAATTGACATTGTCTGTTATTGATTTTTAAATTTAAAAAAAACAACACATTGTACTGATTTCAATCAAAAAATTATTTTAGAATGAACAAAAAATAGCCATAAGTATATATTTCTTTATAATGAAGTATGGAATTTTTTTTTCTCAATAAATTTGTATTCTGAAAAGGGTTAGTTTAGTTGATTTATAAATATTGAAAAATGTCAGTACTTCTTACAAAGGAAGGAAATATTTTATCAGCATAATTCTAAATAGTATCCTTTCAATTTTAAATGAAGATCATAGATACAATCCTAAATGTACAGCTAAGAAAAGTATGGATAAATTAATTTATTTTATATATGAACTTACTTCGGCTTTTAAGTAATACAATTTTCATGACAAAAAAAGTAATATCAAATTTTATAATCGTCAATTAATTATGAAAATTCTAAAATTGTGCCTTTTTAAAATCAAATATATATTAGTTAAATTATTGTGAAAATGATTTGTATTAATGTCCTAAATTCGTGTAATCATATTTAAAGAATATTGTACTCATATTCTCAAATAAAATATAGATATCATATTTATATATATATATATATATATATTTGTTCATATAAATAAATATTATATATATTAGGAGAATAACACTGGTTAAATGTACCTTATATACAAAAAAATATTTATCTACACAGGTATATTGGTTTTCAATGATATTATTATACTTTCATAATTTCTTATTGTTTTTGATGTGTATATATTTATGTGTCATATCAATTTATCTGCAATTAACTATATAATTAATATCTACAAATATTGGTACACAGAACATGTTTATTATGATGTATTCAAACTAATTTTTTACAGGAAATTAAGACAATCACCATAAATTCATTGATCTAATACATGATTTCAATAAATAAATATTTCTGGACTCTAAAATTATAGTTTAATACTAATAGGTAATTAAATATCACATAAACGTTCTTATAATTGCAAAATTATTATAAATATCGAAAAACAATATTTACAAATCTATAAATCCCAATAAAAAAAATTGCTTTGAAAATCTCAAAATTACATCTTAATAATATCAATTTTAATTAGGTAAATTATTGTAAAAATTACTGTCTCTAAATGTATTAGTTTTTTGCCATTATTTTCATATATAAAACCTACATATTTGGTTAAATGAATTGATAGATATAGATTATAAGCCATTAACATTGAATAAACACGGTTAAATATGTTTTCTTGACATGTTTAAAATTGTATAATTTCCTAATTTGTTTAATGTGTATATTTCTATGTGTTAAATCAATTTATCAGCGTTTTCTATACTTTTAGTATCTATAAAAAATAATTCCTGAAATATGTTTAAAAATATTCGTAAAATTATCAATGTATATATAATATTTATATAGGAAAATAATCTAAAAACACTAACTCAATTGGAGACCATTTGAGAAACATGAGTACAAACTTCTTAAAAAGGGATTAATATGAATTAAGGACATTGTAATTAACCTTTTTCCATATACTTGGTATCTACAAATTGGTAACTGGAATACATCTCATTAAACCAAGTTTAATGAGATGTATTCAAACTAAATTTTTAAAGTAATTAAGTCTAGTATGTCATATTTTCAGTATAATCATATTATTGGTTGTAAATATAATAATACTAGTTAATACTTATAAACAAGTATTGTTTTACTGGTTTTTAATTATTATATATGAAATACATTAATTATAACATCTCTTGTATAGTATTATGTGTATATTTCTCCATTTATTTTTTAATTTGGAAATGAAGATCAAAGATCCAATATAATATTTATTAGTTAAAAATGTATGGGTACAATCATTTTTATATGTTTATATTATACCAGATTTCTAAATAAGGATTATGTTGATATAATATTTCTTGTATTATTGAAAAGTATAAATATTTTTTTATGTTTATTAATCAACTTACGCGTTATAGTATTTCCATTTACTAGAGAAATATAATTTAGTATCATATATCATTATAAAGAAAAATACACTATTAGGTATTTTATGTTCATTCTATAATATTTGCAATTCAATAAAACCTTATGTCAACTTATTATGAAAGTCTTAAATGTATACTTTAACTATTTCAATTTTAATTAGTTAAAGTATTAGAAATTTNGAAAAAGAATTTAATATCATATATCATTATAAAGAAAAATACACTATTAGCTATTTTATGTTCATTCTATAATATTTGCAATTCAATAAAACCTTATGTCAACATATTATGAAAGTCTTAAATGTATACTTTAACTATTTCAATTTTAATTAGTTAAAGTATTAGAAAATTTATCTATTTATTGATGTCTTAATAAATTAGTATAATCAGATTATAAGACAATTGTACCCATATTTCCTAAAAGGTCACAAAATAGATTATTGTTTTTAGATATTTGTCTACATAAATATTCTATATAATAATAGAATTTGATATTAATTTCTATATTTATATAAATTGTATTACCCAAACATGAAAAAAAAATATTATATGTGAAATTAATCAATTAGGTCATCTATTATATGGTATTATGAGTATAAATATTCATTTCATTTTAAATTAAGGTCATATATCTAATTTTGTATGTAATACTTACAAATGCATTGGTTCAAACATTCTTACACGTTAATATTAAACAATTAAACAAAGATAAATTTTATCAACAAGTGTTGATGTGATGTTTTAATCAATGGATTTCATGTATAATACCTTTTATATCATATTTCTCAATTGGTCTCCAAATAGGTTTGTTGTTTTTACATTATTCTCGTACAAAATTATTATTAATATATATATTAACTCATATTTTAGTACTTTTATATAAGTATTATAATATATACTATATAAAAGCTAATAATTATTAACTCTTATTGTTTAACTGATTCATAAGTATTATGTATATAAAAAGTCATTTATTTATTTAATTTTTAATGGATAATAACAGACACCAAAAGTGAAAAGGACTCTCAGGTGATATCTAAGATGAAAACAAACAAGAATTCAATACGTAAATGATCAAACACTAGTGAGTATTGTATAATAATTATAATTTTATGTATCAAAAAATTATAGCAATAACACTCATGCGACCAAATTAAAATTGTCTCAATTGTCTGTGTCCTGAAATATGTTTAAAAATATTCGTAAAATTATCAATGTATATATAATATTTATATAGGAAAATAATCTAAAAACACTAACTCAATTGGAGACCATTTGAGAAACATGAGTACAAACTTCTTAAAAATGGATTAATATGAATTAAGGACATTGTAATTAACCTTTTTCCATATACTTGGTATCTACAAATTGGTAACTGGAATACATCTCATTAAACCAAGTTTAATGAGATGTATTCAAACTAAATTTTTAAAGTAATTAAGTCTAGTATGTCATATTTTCAGTATAATCATATTATTGGTTGTAAATATAATAATACTAGTTAATACTTATAAACAAGTATTGTTTTACTGGTTTTTAATTATTATATATGAAATACATTCATTATAACATCTCTTGTATAGTATTATGTGTATAGCTCTTCATTTATTTATTAATTTGGAAATGAAGATCAAAGATCCAATATAATATTTATTAGTTAAAAATGTATGGGTACAATCATTTTTATATGTTTATATTATACCAGATTTCTAAATAAGGATTATGTTGATATAATATTTCTTGTATTATTGAAAAGTATAAATATTTTTCTATGTTTATTAATCAACTTACGCGTTATAGTATTTCCATTTACTAGAGAAATATAATTTAGTATCATATATCATTATAAAGAAAAATACACTATTAGCTATTTTATGTTCATTCTATAATATTTGCAATTCAATAAAACCTTATGTCAACTTATTATGAAAGTCTTAAATGTATACTTTAACTATTTCAATTTTAATTAGTTAAAGTATTAGAAAATTGATCTATTTATTGATGTCTTAATAAATTAGTATAATCAGATTATAAGACAATTGTACCCATATTTCCTAAAAGGTCACAAAATAGATTATTGTTTTTAGATATTTGTCTACATAAATATTCTATATAATAATAGAATTTGATATTAATTTCTATATTTATATAAATTGTATTACCCAAACATGAAAAAAAATATTATATGTGAAATTAATCAATTAGGTCATCTATTATATGGTATTATGAGTATAAATATTCATTTCATTTTAAATTAAGGTCATATATCTAATTTTGTATGTAATACTTACAAATGCATTGGTTCAAACATTCTTACACGTTAATATTAAACAATTAAACAAAGATAAATTTTATCAACAAGTGTTGATGTGATGTTTTAATCAATGGATTTCATGTATAATACCTTTTATATCATATTTCTCAATTGGTCTCCAAATAGGTTTGTTGTTTTTACATTATTCTCGTACAAAATTATTATTAATATATATATTAACTCATATTTTAGTACTTTTATATAAGTATTATAATATATACTATATAAAAGCTAATAATTATTAACTCTTATTGTTTAACTGATTCATAAGTATTATGTATATAAAAAGTCATTTATTTATTTAATTTTTAATGGATAATAACAGACACCAAAAGTGAAAAGGACTCTCAGGTGATATCTAAGATGAAAACAAACAAGAATTCAATACGTAAATGATCAAACACTAGTGAGTATTGTATAATAATTATAATTTTATGTATCAAAAAATTATAGCAATAACACTCATGCGACCAAATTAAAATTGTCTCAATTGTCTGTCTCCTAATATATAATATTTTCGTATAAATCTAATATAAAAATACCAACTCATGTACAAACCATCTAAAGAATATGAATACATTTTTATTATATTTAATAAATGATTGATTTGATTTAAGGACATTTTATTTATCATATTTACTATAATTCAACTAATTTAAATTGAAATAATTTAGGAATTTTAAGATTTTAAATTGACATTGTCTGTTATTGATTTTTAAATTTAAAAAAACAACACATTGTACTGATTTCAGTCAAAAAATTATTTTAGAATGAACAAAAAATAGCCATAAGTATATATTTCTTTATAATGAAGTATGGAATTTTTTTTTCTCAATAAATTTGTATTCTGAAAAGGGTTAGTTTAGTTGATTTATAAATATTGAAAAATGTCAGTACTTCTTACAAAGGAAGGAAATATTTTATCAGCATAATTCTAAATAGTATCCTTTCAATTTTAAATGAAGATCATAGATACAATCCTAAATGTACAGCTAAGAAAAGTATGGATAAATTAATTNTTATTTGATTCTTGTTGATTCATTTCGATTTCAAATGTTTATAGTGGTTAACTACTATTAATAAATATGGCTATTTAATTATTGGTATTTTAGTAATTCATTTTATTCTGATTCGAGTAAAATGAATATATAAAATAATGGTGGACAAAATGTAAAGACTGCGGATAAATGGGGACAGTTTATACGTGGTTAGGCTATGTGTAAACTGCGGTAAAATATTTCTTTTTTTTAAAGTCGATATGTAAACTGTGGCAAAAGAAAATTTAAGATTATATAAACTGCGTCAATTTATTTGATATACTTATTAAGTATTAACTATATATACTACTAACTGTACTGGTCATGCGTTTCTGCGTGTCTGATTTTTATAAATAAATAAGATATGAAAATATATTGAAGCCCCTAAATTTAATGAAATAGTATTTTTTACTGTACTATTTGAGTACTTTAGTAATGGTCAATATTTGGGTACAAGATACATAATAAATTTCCCCTGTACCTTCCCAACTTCTCACCTACGGGAAAAGTATGTCCGTCTTTATATACATATTATTACAGTTTATTTTCTTCATCTTTGTTACCAAGAAAACGTATCATAAATTAACAAAAATAATTCGATTTTTGTACTAAAAATACTTTAAAACCGTATTTTAAGAAACAATGGGTTACTTAATCGGGATGAAAACTATCCTATATTTAAGTTGGACCAAATCACACACATGAGCATAATCTTATCAAAATCGGTTGTGTAACTACACAGCCGCATTAAAGTGCGTTGCTTGCAAACCCGTTGTACGCTTAATTTGTATATAATACATGTAAATTCGTACAAAAATTATATTTTTATCTGAACTTAAAACATAGTGTAAACTCCTACATAGTCCCTTTTAACCTGCCCAAAATAGATGGTGTAATCTCCTACCCAGACCTTTCTATATTTTTATGTTTGGGTTAGGTAATGGCTTATTTCATATTGCAACATTTCTTACATACCTACTACGGTAGGTCCTTTTAGTTTGTATATATTATATGTTTTCATTATTTTAAAGATAATATATTAAAATCATCATTTAAAATAATAACAAAAGTACAATTTAGTAAACATATTAATATAATCTTATCGTATCGCATCGTATCGGAAATTCTCGAACATTTCGATACGTACATGGAATATATGGAAATATAACAATATCTTCCTCTTTTTTCCGCCACTCAGAAATAAAAGGCTTATAGCATCCATACCAATAATTGCAGAACAAATTGAATAAATTTATTATTCCCGACTATTTACTAATTTTACTAAATTAAAAAAATCTATCTTTTGTAGAAGTTAACACTATGTAAATGTAGAAGATTGCTAACTTTTGTAGGAGTTTTCCATTTCCCGTCGTGACGTTGTACCTACTACACCCGTGGTCTGGTCACTTCAAAGAACCCGTCTAGCATCCCACTTTTCGTCGTACCTACGGACAAATTTTATACGGTGTTAGGGGCTATGTGTAATGTGGGTTCATAAAAAATTGTTGGTTTACACCGGCCAAACCAATAAGCAATAGTCGGAGCTGCTCACTAGTTTATTGGTAATTTATATAACCGAGAACACCATGATGAACAATAGTTCATGCCAATCAAAATTAGTTTTAAGTAAATAGTGATTTGCTAATATTTTTTTTCTAAGTGTGTCACATAATATCAAGGATACCTGTTTAGGATCTGCTACCTTTTTCTAAAAGTCGACATGTAAAGTGTGGCAAAACCGATAAGATACATTCTACAAACTGCGGCAATTTATTTTATATACTTATTAGGTTTACCTACACTATATTATAAATACATAATACATCTGTATATACCGATACGACAAACGAACATCTATTAAATTGATAAGGTAAATCTAAATTTATTTTTATGTATATTTATATTATATTATATTTATATATTTATTCATACCTACTAAATATTGGTTCCTATACTTGTGAAAAGTAACATCCTCAAATGTGGGGCATCACTCTCATGGGTTTGTAATATGTCTAAAATTTTAGTACCTTCAAAGTTGGTTGTCTGGTTGTGTCTATATTGATAGCTCTGGACTGGCGAAAAAATAAAAAATTAGAGAGCCTGTAATTATACCATAGATGTCTATGTATAATACTAACCTAACTTCTACACCACCACCACCATCGAATTCCCTCGCGCGTCGCTAACTCACGTGTAACGCGCGTTATAACGAGCGAGGTTTAATCAAGAAAACAGCTGAAAAATAAACAATATCCGTTCGAGTCGTTCTTGTGTGTATTGACTATTGGTCATTGTGCGTTTAGATCCCGGTGTGTGCAGACGTCGACATACTTTCGAAACATTTATTCTAAATATTCGAATTTTCGTACCTTCTAATTAATCGCAAATAGATTTAAA